TTCTGAGAGCTGTTGGTCCATGTGCTTTATAGATTTTGGATCAATTTAAACACAGAAAACGAAAATTCTCGGGCCAGCAGCATGTGTCCAAATTTCAATCTTAACCGTTCTATTTCATCAGAAACGATCTTAAAACGGGGCTTTAAGTGTAAAATACCGTACTTATAGTTGTTTTAGGAAGGAAATAGGAAATAACACTTATAACACTATGTGCAGTAGATTAATAGAAAATACATTTAAAATGTTAGATTTTAAATAACAAGTATTTAAATATCATAAATTATATATCATATATTTTTTTAGAAATATTAAAAAGTAAATTTTTCATATTTTATGATTCACACATTTTTTGTTGTTCACACCAACAGATGATGTCAGACTTCAGTGTAATACACAAACAAAAAATTAATTTAGCAGCAGAAGACATTTAGTAAGCTGCGTCTTCTAAAGAATTGTTTCCCCTTTAATTTCCTTACTGTCATTTGATATCGGCTTCACACTCACATTTACTTCTTGACAGTCACTCTGCCCATCTCCCTTTTTTTCAGGTGTTATGTGATTTTTAGAATTAAGTGGCGCAACAACTTCATTCTTAATTATACTGACTAAGTTTGTGAATAAAAGCATATATGTCTGCTTTGAAATGTTCGTGAGTATGTCATGAGTGTATGCATGTTTATGCACTTTATTTTGGATGCTAGACCACAAAACATGTCATAGTTTTGCCAACTGATTCTCGGCTGAGAAACTTCTGGCTTCTGTAGAAATTCCTGTCTCTCTGGCAGATGCCCAGGAGACCGGCTGACGCTGCCTGTTTACTGCTCTAAACACGAATGCACACAAAGAAAGTAACATCACCGATTCAAAAACTGCAGCACAGGAAAACACAAAAATGCCCCATGTTATTATGGATTCAATTCCTGACCACCAACCCCCCCAAAAGCCCTGTGGTCTTTGAATATGTTTACACCCATTTAACCGTGTGTGCACTTTTATTTGGGTCAAAAAAGTTTGAAATGCTGTGGGTGTAGCTCAAGCAGTGTACAATACAGTGCTGTTCTGAGAGCCACTAATACTTCTATTTAATCTTGAAATAGACCCTTTAAATGTAAGTTTGGATGAGTCGCAAGTGAAAACAATGCGTTTCTGTGAAGCCACTTCTTCAAGACTTTAGTTTTAATCTTACTTTTTCATTTGCTGGATTTAAAAAGCCATTCTGTTATTTTCTAACAGGCTATATTGTTCATCTTTTTAATGAGCTATTTTGTTTAAAAGGACAATGTGTAGGAATTTCTCCCATCTAGTGGTGAACATGTATTTTGCATTCAAACGAATTGTGCTCTCGTCTCTGCCTCGCTTTTTCAAATGCGTTTCTGCTTAACCCTCAGATGCTCTTCGTTTCGGAGTCACACTTGTTATCTTCCCCATCAGAACTGACCGATAATGAAACTTTCTCCATCCCAGTAAAACCAATGCAATTTATTTTTGTTCAATAATATTTTGTTCTTTTAATTTTATATTTTGATGTTACTTTTTTGATGTTGATATTTGATGCAATATTTATGGTCCATTTTTGCCATTGAAAATAATACAAAAAATGTTTTCCTAATTTTTTAAAATATTTTTTTTCAATTATTGCAGTATTTCAGATACAGGATTCTATGATAAACAAATATAATTTATTTGAAAATAGAAATCTTTTGTGAGATTACAAATGTCTTTACTGTAACCTTTGAGTAATTTAAAACACCCTTTCTATATATATGTTTTTATTTATTGTTGTTTAAAAATGACATTGAAATTAGATTCTCATAAAGAATCACACATCACTGCTTCAAAATGTCAGATGTAAATCCAGGGCAAACTGTAGCGGTTTCTGGAGGGCTGATCCTCCAACAAGAGCTGGCAAACTCAAGATCATATGCATTAATGCCTGACAAACAATGGGGGTGGAAGTTCATTATAAACACCCCGCCAATCTAACACCGAACATATGGACACAAGGGTGATGATGTTTACCCGATGGAAAAAAGGAACTGGCTTTTAGTCTTTTCATAGACTCTGACTTTTAATGCACTTCATGTAAAGTTATCTTTTTTTCCCCTTAATAATAAACTGAACATCTGGATTAAAGTATGAAACAGCAACATATCCAATCACAGCGTATTTGCTCGGCCAGGGTCCAACACCAGCACACTGTGGGCATGTGTCCGCTCAGCCATTATCTAATGTAGCTGATTGCCATTTATGTCTTCTAGACCTTCGAGCGTCAGACTCTGTGAATAGAACGAGGTGTGTTTGTGTATGTTTTTCCTGGACTATACAGAGTCCACATGCCTCCACATGGGCACCAGACCTCTTCAAATGAACTCTCGCTCTTTTCTCTTCCCTTTTCTCATATGACCTGAAACATGCGTTAAAGCAAAGAAAATGTTTATTGCAGCAAAAGGATGAGATTAAATACTATCATCAGTCACAGAAAAAAAAATATAACAAAACATTTCACGTAAAAGGTCCATTTAGCCTTTCTCTGTTTTGGGGGTTTATTTCCTTTGGCTCTGAAGGTCTGCATTTCACATAGTTTTTCTTTCTTCCAGAATAATTAGTCTTTTGCGGTGCTCAAGAGTAAAATATACGAAGTGCTGTGGACCGCTTGCCAAAGTCAACACCACGAGCAGTTTGTGGAGGAACACTAGAACATTTGTAGGCTGTAAACTCACAGGGAGACGGTGTCTGAACTTCAGAACGCCAAACGACTGGCCTCATCCTCACACCCAGCTCAAAAAAAGACTGACGTTTAATCATAACGCTCATCATAACTTAGCTGATATGCCTCCCCTTTTGTTTTCATTACCCTGATCTGGCTGCACCGCGGTGTCTCGTACGCGCTCTTGTGTTTTTGATGGCAGGCTGCGTGGATTGCGGTTCACTTTTCAAACAGTTGTCCACTATACAGTGCCCAGATTCAAGAGCTTAATTGAGCATTTGTTTAATCAGTACTGCCTGTGCCTGAAACAAAGCATTTATTTTTAATCAGACGAGACAGTCAATTTGGAGAAAGTGGCTGAAGTCAGAAAGCTTAGACAGTATTTTCTGGAAAATAAGTCGCACATGACTATACGGTGAGGTCACATCGGGTCGAAATGCATGCATTTAGAGGGAAAAAAACAGTCAAGTCACATTGTGTATATAAGTCACATTTAATTATTACATTTAGAAATAATATAATATAATTGTTATAAACACTATAAACATGGTATTTTAAACTACCAGCGTTCGGGAAATGCGCTACACAAATAAACTTGGGATCACTTACCTCTGTTATTCAGCACAAAGTGTGCACTTTTCCAAATGGGTACATGTTTGACATTTATGTGTGCTTTGGAATACAAGTCGCTGCACATTTCAGATGATAAAAAAAGGACTTAAATTCCGGAAAATACAGTGCACAGGTTTGGCTGCCAGCTTGCATCTTGGCATTTTAAGTTTTAGCCTCTACTGTTAGAAGTATTGCATTTGTTATATTAAAGCTATCCTGTTCAGAAAATCTCTTCTATTTGAACCCCTAGACGTCTGCGTTTTATTTATTTTTCATTTTCAAGGCACACTGAAATGTTTCCTGTAACTTCTGCTCCGTTTCTTGATTTGTGTATGTTGTCTTGTCATTTGCTCTCTGTGGGAAACGAAGCATAGCAGTGATCTCATGTTGTTTATTTGTTCCTTTGTGTACTCATCCTGCAACTTTGAAGAAATGAGATGCAAATCCATTCTGGTCTCTTGATCTCGCTTTATTAATTCTTGTTTCTTTGTTTGTTTGCTTGTCTGTTTGCTGTGGACTTTACCTACTTGGTTCTTTGAAGATGTGGAGAAAGCCATCAGACTGAAATTATACACAACCAAAAATGAAAGGAAACATTATGAGTAAACAAACCATAGAAGAGACAGATGGAAATAATAGAGTAACTAAGAAACTGAATCTCAAAAATGAGCCATATCATTGTGTCTAGTCATAAACGGTCTAGATCCAATGCTTAGCCTACTGCAGACCAGCAAGCACCAAGCAGATATTGTAAACACATGTGATGTGCTCTTCCCCTCAGGACCCTTATCCCCACTTTGATGTAAATCTCGCTCGATCTTGCCCTTTTTTTCCTTCTGTGAGTGACCTGTTGAGAAAAAAAACTAGGGCTGGGTAATAAAATGAATTCAGTGGTTTTGTTTGTGATATAAAATTGAGCAACATTGTGATTTTAATATACAGTATGCTTATATGCTCATTAAGTTTCCTAAAGACTCATTAGACTAGTTTCGTGATCTAACAAGTATGACAGACGTTTTAATATTCTCTGATTTAAACTTCAGCAGCTAAAAATCACTCAATATTGTATAATAATAATAATGTTTTACTAAATTAAATGCAGGTAAATATTAAATATTTATATTTTATATATATTTTAAATAATAAACTGTAGAAACATTGACAAACACAACAAAGTTTGGGGTCAGTAAGATTTTTTTTTTTTTTTTTTTTAATAAATGAATACATCTATATTTAGCAGATGCATGTGACAGTAAAGACATTTATAATGTTACAAAAAATGTTTTCACCCTCGATAATAATACATTTATAAAATAATAATAAGTTTCATGAGCACAAAATCTGAATATTCTAATGATTTGTGAAGGATCACGTGACACTGAAGCCTGGATTAATGTCTGTTTTAGGACATGGTTTAGGGGTAGTAAATTAGATATAGGATTAAGAGCTAAGTGCAAAATAAATCTGTAGTGTCAAGTTGATTGGTCCACATCAGGAAAAGGCTTAATTCCATTATAAGAAACAAGATACTAAGTTTACAGGCAACACATATGCACCTGTTGCTTTTCCTTTACACATCCTCAGGCAGCAGAAGGAGAATAATTACACAACAGCAAAAAAGCTGATATAAAACTGCTCACCGTTTTCTCTCTCTCTCTCTCTCTCTCTCTCTCTCTCTCAGATCAACCTCAGGCACGGTCTACACCCATACACCCCTCGCTAGCTAGCTCGACTGAATCGGCAGCGCTGCTGAGGAGAGACAGCAAGCCACATAGCAATGGGGTCAGAAACGGAACATTTTCACGAGCCGCCTCCTCGTCCTCCTCATCTTCATCCTCAGCCCATAAAAACCCCAAGAAGCTGCAGTCAAACCCATCCATCAACAGTCAGAGGAGCAAAGGTAGCTCCAAATCCAACAGCTCCCAGATCCCCACAGAGGCTCAGGATGGTGAGGCAGTCAAAACATAAGCTGTGATTGTTTGTACACAAGTTTGACTGACACAGATATGCATCACTAGCCAGCGAGTTTTGTGTTGTGACTAACTTTCTTTGCTGCGTCTAGATTGCTGTGTCCACTGCATCCTGGCCTGTCTGTTCTGTGAGTTCCTCACACTGTGCAACATCATGCTGGACTGCGCCACTTGCGGCTCCTGCGCATCAGACGACTCGTGCTTCTGCTGCTGCTGCGCTTCAGAGGAATGTGGCGACTGCGACCTGCCCTGTGACATGGACTGCGGCATCATCGACGCGTGCTGCGAGTCTGCAGACTGCCTGGAGATCTGCATGGAATGCTGCGGCCTGTGCTTTTCCTCCTGAGACTCCCATAGGGGGCGCTGCCTCTTTCACTGTTTTGAGATCTGAGAAACAGGCAAAGACAGACATCAATGATCTAGAGTGGCTGCAACCTAGTTGGAGTTGTGAGTTACAATCTGGTAAGTTTCTTTTGAAGATTTTCTTCGTCTTACTATGAACTGTTTCTGGACTGATTTCTGTTTAAAATGTTTTGTTGAGTCTATATTGGCATGATGCTGAATAAAAATACATCCAGAAGACGTATGAGGCCACTGGGAAAGGTCAAAAAAACATTGTACGTCAATGTTTGTTACTTATTTGAAATCGTCTTAGTGCCAAGCTTTTAAAAAATGCACAAACCAGTGGTTTAAGAATTCCACTATAATGCACACCATAAAAGAGCTTGAATTGCAACTCAGATCTGTTTTATAAAACAATGGAGTCTCCTAAAAACATTCCAGCGTTGAGTACTCAATGAAGACGTATCCAAAGATCACATAAACTACCGGATTTTTTTTTAATGGTAATCCTAAATTATCACCTCTCAGTATGCACACTTACTGTAGTACACTGGTGTAGTCCTCTAAGGATTACAAAAGCCATAAAATGTGAGTGTGAAACTCATAGATGTATGCGAGCGGGAGAAGGATGCGTGTATTTAATATATGCTGCCATTCAACAGTTATATCATAGATTGTATATAAACGTGAAGAGAATCCTTTCCATCTCTACATTTTGGTCCTGTGATGTTTTTATCTTCACTCTTTTTAGCATTTTCACTACAATCAATCTTCTTGCATACTGGAATATTATACTGTAAACCATTGTGAATTGCTCTGTATTTTTTTCCCAATGTGAAATGTCTGTCTTGTAATTCCAAAACTTTACATTTAAATCAGTTGTGTGAATTTAAATGTTAGTTTTACGTTTCTACCTATTTTTTTTCTTTCTAGATGTAGTAAATAACTAGCATTATCGCAGTATTATTTTATCCTTTCAAAAAAAGAAATCTAAATCTAAAGCAGAAGGTGATTTAGAGGTAGTCTTGAGAATCAACCCAGGATAATTCATACCACAAACAGTACATACTCATACAGAAAAGCAATGTAATGCATTGATTTGAATCGTTTACATTTTAAGAACATGTTTCTATTGTTGCTTGCAATAAAACTAGAGGTAGAAGGGATTTTTAACTGGACAAGAGTGTACAACAATGGAATAAAAGAACAGGATAAAAGAAATCCATCCTTGTCATATTTGATGTTGTATCTTTTGTATGGTTGTTTTGTTATTTGAGAGGCGTACAATTCTCTTGCATCAGAGTTCAACCACCGAAATGTATTTCAAAGTTGTCCTCTGTATGTAAAACTTATCAAAAATGCGAAGGAAAAAAACGTTTCAGTTTTTAAATACATCTTTGTCGCGTAAACGTACCCCAAGGCAATCGTTTGCAATCAGGTGGCTCTGATAAGTTACAATTTGTTAAATCTTATTATTAATTAAAATGCTAAAAAAGATTAAATATTTAACAGGCATAATATTGTTGAGTTAATCTGAATTACAACACAAGTACCAGAGGTACATTTAAAATGAGATATGAGGGCTAACCCATAATCACATAACCCAATGGCATCTTGTTAGCATTTGTTACGCATAATCCTCATATTTTCATCTCGTTTTGCAATTAGCTATGTGACGTTGTGTGATAAAGACTGCTGCATGGACAGGCATCGCCTCCAACCTCTTCTCTGTTGCTCAAGAAAGCTCTGTGAGGTTTGGGCAACAGAAAACAGTGCGGTTTAATAGGCTCTTAAAGGGCTGCCAAAGTCGTTGAAGAGGAATGTCTGTTCATGGCAACAGTGCAATATATGATAAGACCTTCTCTGTTACATCTCTTGCTCATTTTGCCTCTCCTTGTTTTTTTTTTTCTCTCAGTGTATGTTCTATAAATATGGTTGTGGGTGGTAGATGCTATCCCTGGTTGAGTTTTAACCACACACATCTATAGATAGGGGCTTTACAGTTTTAACCTGGTGGTCAGAGCTCTGGTCTCTTAACGTTTGCATGAAAGAGAGCAGCCATTCAGTTGAGGGGAAAGGTTAAACATATTCTTAAACATCTGCATCTGTTTTGAGGAATCCAAATCCAGTGTCTTCATACACAATGCATTTGTTCAGTTTCTCGTTTTCTCATGAGCGTATTCATTCTCAGGCACAAATCCTGTCCAGATATTCTCACAATTCATCAACAGAGGACAAGAGGCTATTGAATATTAACTATGAAATTACAAACAGCGCATTATAATGGAGGTGAAGGGGTCACCAGCTGTGATGAAAATTCTAGATGAATAATCCTGGCATGAAAACGCCACTGAACTCAAGCTCTGAGAATATTCAGATTTTCTTTTCTTTCAGAAGTCACAAAGATGCCAAACAGAAGACATAGTGTCTGTTTTATTAATACAGGGGTCAACGGAGGGCAACAGCAGCCATATTTCCATTGTTTTCCCAAGTAGTCCATTTTGCGCTGCGAGTTTGGCTGAACAAAATCTCCAATTGTAATTGAGATTTGCTTTTTTCCTTTTCTTTTTTTTTTATCTGCAGGTTTAGTGTGCTTGTTTGTAGAACAACCCAACTTGTTATGATTGTATATCAATGATTATATCATAATAATTATTACTACTACTAAAATATATTTAAAAAAGAAATATATATATATTACATTCTTACATTTTTTATTTAAGAACAATTATCTATGCCTGTCTAAAATTTCCAAATGTCAAACAATCAAGCTTTTATTTTGTTGGAAAAACAGGAAGCCCTTAAAGCTTCTCTTTTATTGACAACAGCCAGTTTAAGCGCTTCTCATTACAAGTTTGGGAAGACAGTTGGCTTCTCTAGCCCCTTTTCCACCAAAGCATTTTGAGAGCCGGTTCGGAGCCGGTGCCTGCGCGCGAACCAGTTCTTTGTGTTTCGACAGCCAAAGAACCGGTTCTCGGCCAGGAGAACTGGTTCCTAAGCGGCACCAACTCTTTGCCGGACTAGAACAGTTCTTTTACCACGTCATGCTTACGTCGGGGGCTGGGGGCGGGTTTAGATGTGTTCTAAACATCTTTTCTGATCCTAATAAAGGATCGCAAATCCAGGGGAAACATTTGCAGAAACACGATGGAGTCTGCGTTTGTAATTGTTATGCTTGAAGTTGGCGCAAGCGTTTCTATTTTTGTAATTTTTTCATTGATAAGTTTTGGTATAAAACTTATCAGAAAAGATTACATATCAAACGAAAATATTAAAAAACTTACACATTTCAATTGTTTTTAAACCCTTCTTAGTACACGAGTTAGAGATAATCCCAAAGTAATGTTACTTGCGTTTCTTGCTAAATCGTATGGCGACGTACACAGTGACGTAACGACGTCGTTCCCTGGGTGCTTTAGTCAGTGGAAAAACAAACAGGTTCTGAAGCGGTTCGCAAGTTGAACCAACTCCGAACCAACTTTGAACCAGCACCAGTTCCGAACCAGTTCTTTTTTTGGTGGAAAAGGGGTATCTGAGACACGGAAAACACTGGATCATGAGCTGTTCATTTGTAAGGCTGAGTAAATATGATTTTTTCACTTGCATCTGAGACAGATCGGAATTTGTTGCACACGTGTAAACGCAAAAATCCGCACGAGATCGGATTTTTTCTGCATCCGTTCTGAGCCATCATTTTGGCATTTTGGGCGGGGATTAATATAAACACAGATTTAAGATACCAGTCCTATCTAAAGTGAATGTAAACAGGACAGGAGGGACAAAAAAATCATATATGGTCAAAAGATCGGATCTGTGGATTAAGACCTGCAGTGTAAACGAAGCCTAAATGAACACAGTGCCATGCTTTACTCTGAAACATGCAGCACATATTTATTTAATTAAATCGCAGACTGCAATTTGATAATTGCACTAGGTCATTTATTCCGTTTTCTTTCGGTTAATCATGCAGCCCTAGTTCAGAGTGTTAGTGAAGTGTTCAGATCATACTATAGAGCACTTAACAGTAATGCCTGTGAAACAATGGTCTCTTTATTTTTCACTCTGCTCATCCAAACCAAACCGGATCAAATAGAGGAATGTCGGTTATACTTAATGCATCCGCCCTCACTAATCAAACCAACTGCAAATGTATATCTAAGAGAGTTAAATAAATGTTTTGCGGAGAGAGTGGGTATATTCAAAGCGTAATATAATCTATTGGTTAGGTTCTTTTGGTTTTTCTTAATGAGGATGGCTCTCAATGGAGCACATCTCTCTGTTTGGGTTTCACTAATACCCAAGGTTGAGCACGGTTGGTGGTTTTGTGATCATTTTGTGGGATCCGTGCACATGTACTGTACATGCAGAACCACAGTCACACACACACACACACGCACACGAGGCCTGGTGAGTCACCAGATATGTGGGACCAGAGCCAGTTGATCTCTCTACAGTAAAGCATCTTGTCCTCCCACTTACACACTCGACTCAAAGGCCTGTCTTCAAGCATCATTGTGTCTCAAACACACACAGTAGCGAGATTCTGCATGCAACCACAAACAATCACCAATACACAATCACAACAGCATGTCAATTTACAATAAATCATATTTTAGACAATAATTGTTTATATTAAAAGGGTCATATTTTTTATTTATTCAACCACAATTTTATTTTTAAATAATTAATTTCATTTATCATTTTTACCATTTAGTCTATTATTTAGTCTAACTATAAAAAATATGTTGCCTTCTCTCTGACCCCTTAAAGTATTGTGCTGTTAAAAAATGACTTTAATCAATATCAGTTTATTAACATAACCTTTTCTAACCCCGTAATATTCTGTCCCAAACCTTTACTTTAAGAAATAACAAATGCTATACTAAATGTACACTATACTGTTCAAACGTTTAAGGTCAGTAATATTTTTTTAAGCAGACATTAAATTAATCAAAAGTGGTAGTAAATACATTTATAATCCAAAATATTTCTATTCCAAATAATTGCTGCAATTTTGAAGTTCATATTCATTAAAGAATCCTGAAAAAATGTATATGGTTTCCACAAAAATATTAAGAAGCACAAGTGTTTTCAACATTGATAATAATAAATGTTTGTTGAGCCCCAAATAAGCCTTTCAGCATGATTTCAGAAGGATCATGTGACACTAAAGACTTTCATAATAGTTCTCCTTTTTTAAATCAAATAAATGCAGTGTTGGCGAGCATAAGAGACATTTGGAACAGTAGTGTGTATCTCTGTCTCTTGTCTCCTCATTTATTGCACTCAACATTGGGGACCCCATTGTGAGTTGGATACGGCTGAATTATGTCACACAACAACGGTGGCGAAAATGCTGCTATCTACGCGGCCACCATCAAGTTACCGGACTTTTGCCAGCACAATCCACTGCCATGGTTTCAACACATCGAGGCCCAGTTCCAGCTAAGAGGAATTACACAGGACGTTACAAAGTATTTCCACGTGGTAGCGGCCTTAGATGACAGCCAGGGCTATGGCACTGTTAGAGGCTCCTCCGGCTGACGGCAAGTACAACGCACTCAAAACATTCTTGTTGAACCTCTTTGAACTGTCGGACCTGGAGAAGACAGATCACCTGCTGTCCCTTAACAACCTTGGCAACAGCAAGCTGTCCGAGTTAATGGAAAGGATGCTAGGGGTGCTTTGCGCGGTAGATCTCTCGTTCCTCTTTGCCCACATTTTCCTGCGGCAGCTTCCAGCACCCATGCGCACCGCACTGACTAGCATCCTAGCCGGAGCCACCATTTTCTCGAAGGTGGACCTGGTGTGCAGTTACCACCAGGTGCCTGTCCACCCACAGGATTCCCCCAAGACAGCAGTCATCACACCCTTTGGCCTTTTCAAATTCCTACAGATGCCTTTCGGCCTCAAGGGTGCAGCACAGACGTTTCAACACCTCATGGACTCTGTGCTTAGGGACATGCTGTTCCGCAGACGAACACCTGGCGCATCTCCGGCAGCTGTTCGGCCGGCTCAGTGAGCATGGTCTCATCATCAACCTGGGGAAAGTGTGAGTTTGGCCAGTCGTCCATCACTTTCCTTGGCCTTTACATCACCCCGCAGGGGGCCGTCCCCATACCGGCCAAGGTGGAAGCCATCGCCAAGTTCCCACGCCCATGGTGAAATTCTACAACCGTTTCCTCCCCCATGCGCCCCAGCTCATTGCACCATTGTACAACG